ATCAGTACCTAGCCCAACTGTCAGAGAGGCTTTACCCAGCAACTGATGAAAACAGAGACAGAGACCCACAGCCAAACATCAGGCTTAGGCAGAACTTGGGAAGCCAGTAGAGTCAAGGGCACCACAAAAAAAAACAGCCTCATGGCACCATGACATCTTCAACTCACTCTCTGCTCCCTGCACATAGTTGCAATGTGAGCTCTCAGCTTCTTGCTCTTTGGCTCTTTGCTATCCTGTAGATAGTGCCATGCCTCTCACCATGATAGACCCTTATCCCTCTGGAACCTATATCCAAATAAACTCTTTCTATAAGTTTCCTTGGCCACAGTGTTTTATCACAGCAACTGAAAAGTAATACAACCAGTTAAGGCCACTTTTAACATTCAAGAAATTAAGTAATGAAATTTTTGAGTAGCTATGACAATGGTCTGTTCATCAGAAATGCTTCATGAGTAGTAAGCAATACAACAGAATCCTGGGCTCACATCACTACTAGTGCTCCATCTGGAAATAATGGAAGCAGAGGTGATGAAGGACCAGAGCAGAGGCCAGCAAGACTGGTGAAAGCCAGCAACCTACCTGGTTTTATTTGTTTGTTTTTAAGAAAAGCTTTATTTAAAACATAATACTCACATATTGCCTATGAAGTAGCCTATTCTCTTTACTGCCTGGTCCTTGGAAATTTTAAAGCCAAGCATGATGATGCAAAGCTGTAATGTCAGCCCTTGGGAGACTGAAGTGAGAGAATTGCCATAAGTTCAAAGCAAGCCTGCACTCGCTACATAGTGAGCTCTAGAACAGCCTGCAATACAGTATGAGATACTTTCTGAATGGAAAGGCACATAGACACCCACAGTCTTCTTAAAATGTTAAATTTAGATTTGTCTCACTAAAATACGGTAAATAATGATATTAGGGTTCTCTGCATATAACCAAATAATGCAAAAGTGAATATTTAAATGAGTTGAGGTTGACAGTCCATCTGTAGGACAAGTTTCTAAAAGTCAGAAACCTAGAGCTCCCTTGGGGATAACTGCTTAGTCACATTGGTATATGATGTAATACCTGTGTGAACTTGTGTGTACCTGCACATGCAGGCTTCTACTCTGTAGGATGTGCCTCTGGAATGTTATAAACACAGGCCAATACAAAAAAATCATAAATTTGGGGCTGCAGAGATGGTTCTACAGTTAAGAGCACTGACTGTTCTTCTAGAGGACCCAGATTCAATTCCCAGGACCCACATGGTGGCTCACAACCATCCATGATTCCCATTTTCAGGGTATCTCATGCTCTCTGCTGGCCTTCACTGGCACTACATACACATGGTGCACAGACATGCAGACAAAAACACCCATTCGCATAAAATAAAAATAAGTCCATTTAAAAACATCATAAACTTAGGATATTGAGACATTTTGTGATTTTGTAATTTGATTGTACAGTTCTTAAGTATAAAGTTTGCAACATGACCTTGTCAACTGCTATGTCAAAAGGGTGGACACCCCTGGAAGGCATCAATCTGTGTATTCTTAACACTGAGTATTCTGGGAAATGTTCTTTCCTTGGAATTGAATATTTTTTACATTTGGAGAGTAGGTAATCAACTTCTCCTAAGTAAGAGGATATCATCAGAAGGCTAACTTGACTGATGCTATTGGAAGGTGCCTTAACTTGGATCCTATAGTGTGTACTTCCACTTAAAGCTCCCCAAGACATTAATCTCTTCGTGGAAAATTCACCAGGTCAAACAGAAAGGCCATACCTGATTGTCTTCAAGGGCACAGTATTATCTTTTAAAGTATCCAAGGTCACTGTTACTCCACTTTTCCCCAAGATATTCTGGCCCAGGTTGCAAGTTTCAGGCTTTAGGTTGCTAGTAATGGCAGTGACAAGTTCCTGACAATGCAATGGACTGATGGAGCATCCACAGAGCCTTGAAGAAAAAAAACAGCATTTACTCCTTGGTAATCTCTTGCTGAGGCCTTGTACAGTATTGTAGGGATCCTGCAGTAAAGAAATGTGGGACCAGACCAGAGCTACTTAAGGTGCTATCTAAAAAAACATGTTTTGCTCAGGGGCTAAGGTTGTAACTCAGTGATGAAACATTTGCCTAGAATCCACAAGTAAGGGGTAGAGTCATGTCTCAGCAATAGAGAAATTAGTGAGAAGCTGGGGTTATGGCTCAGTGGCAGAGTGTCTATCTAGTATGCACAAGGTGATGAGAGGTTTCACACCCAACTATTTACAAAAACCCACAAACTGAAAGTGCTTGCCAATAAAGTGTTTGGCTCATAACTAGTAAAAGGTTCACTTAAGAAAACCGACTCTTCCTTCTAGAAGATACCAATAGTCAATTGATCCTCAACTCGAGGTGGGACTTCATGACCACATCTCCCTCTGTACTGGTTAGGTTTATGTCAACTTGACACAAGCTAGAGTCAGAGAGGA